AACAGCCCAATTAATCTCACCCAAATCAAGATTTCCATGATTTATCAGCCCAATTGATCTCACCCAAATGAAGATTTTGATCATCTAACAGCCTAATTAATCTCGCCCAAACCAAGATTTCAACAATCCAACAGCCCAATTAATCTCACCCAAATCAAGATTTCCATGATTTATTAGCCCAATTAATCTCACCCAATCAAGATTTCAATGCTCCATCAGCCCAATTAATCTCACCCAATCAAGATTTCAATGATTTATCAGCCCAATTAATCTCACCCAAATCAAGATTCCCATGATGTATATGCCCAATTAATCTCACCCAAATCAAGATTTCCATGATTTATCAGCCCAATTAATCTCACCCAATCAAGATTCCAATGATCCAACAGCCCAGTTAACGCCTCTGTGCCAAGCTTCTGCTGCTCGAGCCCCCCTGCAGCTGCTCATTAACGAGCCCAGCACTAATTAAGGCGAGGCTCTGGGGGGCCCGGCCGCTCCCCAACGCCCCCCGTGCCCCCTCCCCAGGACCCTCAAATCCTTCTGGATCCGCAAGGGCAGCGCCTTCAGCACGGCCGTGGCGCGGCCGCACACCGAGCTCACCCCGGAGATGATCGCCACGTAGGTGCCCCCCGGGACCCCCCCAGAATCCCCCCAGGACCCCCGCCGGGCTGATGGTCTGACCCCCAGCCCCTCCCGCAGGGGCTCCTGGCGCCAGCTGCCCTTCAAACCCTACAACTTCTCCTCGCTGGGGCTGCCCCCGGCCTGCGGCCACCTGCACCCGCTGCTCAAGGTGCGCTCGGAGCTGCGCCAGATCTTCCTGGAGATGGGGTGAGTGGGGGGCTCTGGGGGGCTCTGGGGGCGGCGCGGAGCCCACCCCCCCCCGTTGAGCCGGGTGCCGCCCAGGTTCACGGAGATGCCCACGGATAACTTCGTGGAGAGCTCCTTCTGGAACTTCGACGCGCTCTTCCAGCCGCAGCAGCACCCGGCCCGCGACCAGCACGACACCTTCTTCCTGCTGGGTGGGTGCTGGGGGGGCGCGGGGAGCTGCTGAGCCCACCCCCACCCCCCGGGACCCCTCTGAGCCCCCCGCAGCCCCCCGAGCTTCCGCTGACAGCCCCATGTGCCGCCTGGACGTGTGACCCCCCACCCCCGCCGGGGGTCCCCTCCTTTTTGGGGAGGGGTCCCCCTATCCCCGGGGGTCTCCGTCCCCAATAAAGCCCGGTGTCCTGCGGTGCCTGTGTGTGTGTGTGTGCTGGGGAAGGGAAGCGCGTGGGGTTTAGGGAGAGTTTGTTGTCACCTCGTGGCGTCGCACGGCGCTGGGGAAGCGGAGACCGGCCCGAGACCCCCGAGACCGGCCCGGGACCCCCGAGACCCTCCCGGGACCCCCAGGCCCTTCCTGCCTTTCCCGCCGCTGTCTTTTCGTGCCCGACCATTGGCCCGCGCAGGTGCCAATCATCCCCTGGGCTCCCAAAGGGCTCCAATCAGCAGCCCCGAGGTGCGAATGGCGGGCGCTGATTGGGTGGCGGTGGTGCCCGCCCCGCGGAGCCCCGTGAGGGCGGCGTGGTGAGGGGCGGCCGAGGGTCCCAGGTACGGCCCCGAACCGGCACCGGCCCGAGCCGGGCTTAGAGCCCCCAGCCCACCCCCGGTACCGGCCCGAGCCGCACTTGGTGCCCCGATCCTATCCCCCGGTACCGGCCCGAGCTGGGCTTGGTGCCCCGATCCTATCCCCCGGTACCGGCCCGAGCCGGGCTTAGAGCCCCCGGTACCAGCCCGAGCCGGCCATAGAGCCCCCAGCCGACCCCCGTACCCGGCCCGAGCCAGCTTAGAGCCCCCAGCCCACCCCCGGGATCCCGGCCCGAGCCGGGTTTAGAGCCCCGATCCTGCCCCCGGTACCGGCCCGAGCCGGGCTTAGTGCCCCGAACCAACCCCTGACACCGGCCCGAGCCGCACTTGGTGCCCCGATCCTATCCCCCGGTACCGGCCCGAGCCGGGCTTAGAGCCCCGATCCCACCCCCGGTACCGGCCCCAGCTCGGGGCCCTTGCCCTGCAGCCCCCCGGGGCCGGGATGTCGCGGGAGGAGCCTGAGGGTCCCGAACCGGAGGCGGCGGCGGGACAGAGCCCCTTCCCGGAGGAACCGGGTGAGGACGAGCCCCTCGGTGAGGAGCAGGACAGGTACCGTTCACCGGCGATCTGCAGTGAAAACGGAGAAAAAAGGAAAAAAGAGCGGGGGGGGGGATGCAGCGATGCCACCCGCGGCAGTGCGGGGAGGGGGGACACACGTGTCACAGCGTTAATTAGAGGGTAATTGTCAATTAACGGCGCTGGCGGGGCTGTCACTGCGCACAGCCCGTCCCTGTCCTGGGGGTGTGTGACCCTGACAGGGTGTACAGCCCCTGGGGGTCGGGGGGGGTCCTGTCCTTGTGTGATGGGGACATTCCTGTGATGGGGTCCGGCTTAGAGCCCCCAGCCCACTCCCGGTCCCGGCCCGAGCCGGGTTTAGAGCCCCGATCCCACCCCCGGTACCGGCCCGAGCCGGCTTAGAGCTCCCAGCCCACCCCCGGTACCGGCCCGAGCCGGCTTAGAGCCCCCAGCCCACTCCCGGTACCGGCCCGAGCCGGGTTTAGAGCCCCGATCCCACCCCCGGTACCGGCCCGAGCCGCACTTGGTGCCCCGATCCCACCCCCGGTACCGGCCCGAGCCGGGTTTAGAGCCCCGATCCCACCCCGGTACCGGCCCGAGCCGGCTTAGAGCCCCGATCCCATCCCCGGTACCGGCCCGAGCCGGCTTACAGCCCCCAGCCCATCCCCGGTACTGGCCCGAGCTGGGCTTGGTGCCCCGATCTCATCCCCGGTACCGGCCCGAGCCGGGTTAGAGCCCCCAGCCCACCCCCGGGATCCCACCCCCAGTACCGGCCTGAGCCGGCTTAGAGCCCGCAGCCCATCCCCGGTACTGGCCCGAGCCGGGTTTAGAGCCCCGATCCTATCCCCCGGTACCGGCCCGAGCTGGGCTTGGTGCCCCGATCCCACCCCCGGTACCGGCCCGAGCCGGGTTTAGAGCCCCGATCCTATCCCCCGGTACCGGCCCGAGCTGGGCTTGGTGCCCCGATCCTATCCCCCGGTACCGGCCCGAGCCGGGCTTAGTGCCCCGAACCAACCCCTGACACCGGCCCGAGCCGCACTTGGTGCCCCGATCCTATCCCCCGGTACCGGCCCGAGCCGGGCTTAGAGCCCCGATCCCACCCCCGGTACCGGCCCCAGCTCGGGGCCCTTGCCCTGCAGCCCCCCGGGGCCGGGATGTCGCGGGAGGAGCCTGAGGGTCCCGAACCGGAGGCGGCGGCGGGACAGAGCCCCTTCCCGGAGGAACCGGGTGAGGACGAGCCCCTCGGTGAGGAGCAGGACAGGTACCGTTCACCGGCGATCTGCAGTGAAAACAGCGCGGGCGGGCGCAGCTGCCCCCCCGGGCCCCGGGGACGGCGGCCGTGCCAGCGCCGGGACGAGCCGCGGCCCCGCTCGGGCAGGTCTCGGAGCTGGCGGAGCAGCTGGAGGAGCGGCTCTTCCACCGCTACGGCTTCCACAACGGGCTGATCCAGGAGCGCCTGCAGGCGATCAGCGAGGTGTTGGAGCGCGTGGAGGAGGCGCAGGCGGAGCTGCGCCACATCTGCTGCACCGTGGAGGCGGCTTATCAGGACCTCTGCCTGCAGCCCGAGACCTGAGGGCACCCCCAGACCCTCAGCGGGACCCCCCCCCCCCAAAAAAAGCCGCGGCACCGCGGGGCTGTGCCGGGCCAAAGGGGGATTTTGGCCCCGAAGGGCTTTTCTGTTGCTGTTGGTGGTTGCAACAAATAAAGGGATGAAGCTGACCCAAAAGCTGGATGGGGGGTGGGGGGCTGGGCTGGGCTCTGACCCCCCCTCCCCCCCCACCGAGGGCAGAGCTGGGTCCTGGCAGGTTAATTAATGCTGACGAGCAGGGCTGGCATGGAGGGGCTGTCCCACCGTTTATTGGCCACGGGGGTGGCGAAGGCACCGGACACGGCGCCAGCACCAGTGGGGTCCCCGGAGTGTCACCGAGTCCCGTCGGTGACACCGGGTCCCGCCAGCGACGCGAGGTTTGGCTGGGGTGGCACCGAGTCCCCTTGGTGACGTGAGGCCTGGCTGGTGACACCGGGTCCCGTCGGTGACACCGGGTCCCGTCGGTGACACTTCTGGGGATGCCTGGCTCTGGTTGGCGACGCCGGCTCCGGTCAGTGCCACATCTCCTCACACCCCTTCCCGTGAGGAGCACAGCCGGTCCCCACCGGTGCCACCGCGTCCCCTCTACGTCCCCTTTGCCGGGGCGAAGGCCTGGATGCCGGTGATGGCGCGGCCCAGGATCAGCGCGTGGATGTCGTGGGTGCCTGCGGGGGGGGTCACCGCGCTCAGCAAAACCCCCCGACCCCCCTCGGG